AAAACGAACCAGACGAGTGTGACACCACAGACTGTTTGTGTCTATATAATATGCTATATAATTGCCAAACCCTACCTAATTTGCATGATATTTTTTTTTAAATATCAAAACCCCTAGCCCTTATTCATTCACATACCAAAAATGAGCAAAATCCGTTGAATCTGAACTGACTAATGGCAATTCCCATTTTTGCCAAAAAATTGCCGTGGCTCGAAAGTACGTCGACTGGCGTGCTTCAAAATAGGACGTTTAATATGGGAGCATAGCAGTAACAACTATACACAATTTCAAACATGTGGGCCAAACGGTTCCTGAGTTATCGTTGACCGTAGCGAAATGTTGACGAACGGACGGACGGACGGACGTACGACGGACGACGACCCATGGCAATAGCTCAGCTTGACAATGTCAAGGTGAGCTAAAAATGAAAGCCTGTGACAGCATACACATGAACCCTCTTCCAGGCTCCATGTCTTGGAAATCGGGGACGGTGGTAAAGCACTATGGGAGACCCAGATCCTACGTCATCTGCAGCAGAGGTCGGCTGTATCGCTGCAATCCCAGACACCTCCGAGAGACATCAAAAGCAGCAAACCAACAGGACACTACTACAATGGACGACGGGCAGCTGGGCGTCAGCGACAAACAACACGAGAGCCGAAGAGAACACCGAGAGTGCATCAGAGGCGAGAGACGGGACAGCACGGACGGGCGACGGACACAATGACATCCTCCGAGAAGACCCCTGCACGTCTCCTAGATACACAACAATGTCTGGCAGGACTGTAAAGCCACCCAGAAGACTGGACCTATAATGTGTTGATGTTACATATTGTAGAATGCAATCTGTGTTGATGTTACATATTGTAGAATGCAAGTAGATTTGTTAATTGTTCCAGTTCAGTATAGAGGCACATATTCTAGATTTGAGATGAGTAAGAAACCTTAAAATTAAATTTTATCTTAGTAAGAATTTAATTTAGTCTTAGTAAGAATTTAATTTAATCTTAGTAAGAACCTTAGAAAAGAAGTAACTTAGTATCAAAAGTAAGAGAAGATGTAATATAATTGAATTTCATTATCCATAACATAAGCGACCATAATAGAACAGGGTTTGTGAACAGAACATGGCATCTTCAGTGACTGATATTACACTACGAGTATTAGTCCGCAAATGCAGACGTTATAACTCCGCTTTGCTAATCTGAGGGTGCGGGTTTATCGTCTGCAGTCACCCTTGTAAAAATTGTTGCAATTTTTGTTGTGGGCATTGGATAGGTGAATCGAGTAGCACTGAAAGCGTGACGAAGGTATATCCGACCCAAAATATCAAGTACAGACCTTCTGTTTGTCAATATCGCGTTCCGAAGACTTTATCTCCGTTTCAGAACTTTGTTTTCATGCAATAATTCATCCTAGTAAAAGTAACTTTGATATTTTTGGCCATATTGGACAGATTTTTCGATCGACCAATGAAATTCACTTCTGGTAGCCTCAGGTTCACTCGGAAATAATAATTCGAAATAATAATAGATGGCGTGGACTACCTACCATGTTTCCTGTTGAACATCGGGAATAGCCGAAGTAACCGGAAGTGATTTTCATTGGTTGACAAATGTGAATGAAGACAGAACATTTTCTTTGGACGTTTATATTTACCATTAGGTTAACAACTTGATATATTCTTATGTTGTGGCCGCTACCAGGACATCATAGCGTGCATGCATGTAGATAAATGATTCAAGTTCAGATTAAAATAAGTTTGACGCAATAAGCCCCATCTGCCACCTCCCCTTAATTCCGGTGCCGCCCCCATCTGCTACCTCCCCTTAATTCCGCTGCCAGCCCCATCTGCGCCTCCTCTTAATTCCGCTGCCCCCCCATCTGCGCCTCCCCTTAATTCCGCCGCCGCCCGCATCTGCATCTCCTATTAATTCCGCTGCCACCCTGACGCACCTGCGGCTTTGTTCGCAACCTGCGCGCCGTCTTGATTGGATGCTTGAGGGCGTCGACGAACGTCAAGCGCGACGTCTCGCGGATGAGCGACGGCTTGCCGAGGCGACTCTCGACGTAGCGCGCCGCGACGCCCGTGCCCATCTTCGCCGAGTAGACGCCCAGCGCGAGCAGCGTCAGCCCGCCGGCGGCCGCCGTCACCTTGTCCCAGTCGGAGATGAACGCCTGCAGGCCGGTGCCGAGCACGGAGCCGGCCGTGCGGATCGACTCCATCACGGTGACGCGCTTCTCGGACGCCTTCAGCCGGATCTGGTCCATGTAGAGGTCGTGGTTCTCCCGCTCGACCTGCCAGCGAGCGAGCGTTGCGACGTGGAACGTAAGAACGGGGAACTCGCACAAAGGTGAGTATTATCGGCATGCAGTCCTTCATGCGTGCGTGAGTCCACGTAAATTTCGTTATTGTAGCGCAACTGCAGGGATAATTTCACGCAGTCTTATGGTATCCTATGTGTCTTATAGTAATCTGGTGGTATTTGCAGGGAATCCTACAGACCAACTTTTCATTCTAGCTCCCCCCTTCTCTCTCTGAATGCCGTTTTACTATTAGTCTTCGTTATATATTACCAAGCATGTCGTTACAATCCTACACTATTGCCCTGTCATGACTGTTCCTCGGTCACCTAGTTGCCATAATGTTCTTTACCTGTGCTTTGCCTCTCAGTTCAGCTTCAATACGCTTCATGTCATTCTTGTAGCGCAAGTCTGACTCATATTCCACCGTCGATTTCTTCATCTCCTCCTGTCGCTTAACGCTCTCCTCTTGCCGTCTCAGATTTTGTTCATTCATCTGCTTTTGTTGGTCTAGCTGGTCATCATACCTCTTTCTGATTGGTGACAACAACATGACATTTATTACGTATCCACATTAGGTATTATATAGATATTCAAATATTGCAGCGTGTGAGAGAAGGAGATGGACAGAGGGAAAGAAAGAGCGAGAGAAAGAGAGAGTAATGGAAAAGAAAGGGAGTACGGGAGAAAAGGACAGAACAGGCAAGAAAAGAACAGCCTTATTGATTTTGGTTTATATATATATACCAATATCAATAAAGCTGTTCTTTAACTTGTTCTGTAACTATAGTGTATAGTTTAATCTCAGCATATGTCATTAATTATGCCATAGAATGTATACAGAAATGAGAACAAGTTCTTGGCTATATATCGATTGAGGGGTTTGGTTCTAAGACTAGTCTAGCAGAATAACGTGCGCTACTGCACTACCTGGCAAGTTGGTCCTGGTACTGAGACCGTTGCTGATGATGCTTCGATTCCTCAGCAAGAGTTTTTCGACGCTCCTCATGAGCCACCCTCTCCTTCTCAATGTTCATCTTCTCCATCGCGGCTTCATATTCCTGAAAGCGAGGGTTGAACACCAGATTCAAACATAAGCCTTGTTTTTTTTCTACATGTTTACAGATGATAGACCTTCTGCTGACCCTCTTGGTACATCCACCAATCAAAATTACCTTACTAAGTACCATATGCTTGCACTAGTTATGTAACCTTGACTTCACTGGCAGACATAGCATGTATATGTCATTAAAAGAGTCAGAAATATGAAGAATAGACCACTTTTTATACTAACCCGTATTTGTGTTTGGAATTCTAACTGTTTTGTGGTTTCTTGTTGTTTGGTCAATTCAAGGGCATCTTTGGCATACTTTGAACCCTCTAGTTCTTTTGCAGCCTTTGCAGCTCTTTCTAAGGCAGCCGAGTCAAAGCGGTATGCCTCCATCTTCTTTGCATCAGCTGCTGCTTGATCCCCTGCATCAGAAAATTCCAATAACAACTGATTACCTAGATGTTCATTGTATCCCCCGCGACGAAGTCGGGGGGATACTCTGGTTTCATGTCTGTCCAGCCGCCGCTCGCCGCCGGGGCAGACCCTTTGCCTTCTGCTCTATAACTTGACCCTTAATTGACCTAGCGCGAGCAAACTTGGTATACTTACACGTCTTGGGGAGAAGGTGTGTCGCGTACCAAAACCAGGTCACTGCGACTTTTATTTGACCTTGATCTTGATCATATTTCCCTTCTGCTCTATAACTCGGCCCCTAATTGACCTAGCGCGACGAAACTTGGTATACTTACACATCATGGGGAGGTGTGTCGCGTACCAAAACCAGGTCACTGCGACCTTTATTTGACCTTGACGTTAACCTTCATCATATTTCCCTTCCGCTCTATAACTCGGCCCCTAATTGACCTAGCGCGAGCAAACTTCGTATACTTACACATCTTGGGGAGAAAGTGTGTCGTGTACCAAAACCCCTAGGGTAACCAAATTTGACATACTTGCACATCTGAGGCAGATGAGTTATGTAACAAACCCTTGTCTTTGTGACTTATTTCACTTCACCTACCTTGTACATCCTTCTGGTGATATATTTCATTGAAACTAGATCGCGGGGGATACATGTAGTTGGCGACAACTGCCATTTCTAGTTTAACATGGAATTGCTCTGAGAGTGTGATGCCTGCTAAACTTTAAATAATCTGTCATAACCCAGTCAAGCACTGACACTGACAGCCCCTGCCTGCACCACGGTAGTTACGGTTGAGAAATGGTTACATGGAACTGAAAAATGTCTCAAACCTATATAGGTGGCAGACAGCCCCACCTGTGACGTGTTTCAGACAGAGGACTTAGTTTCCAATATATAGAGAATGAACAATATCTGAAATGTTGCTGAACACTACAGAGGACAATTCAAATGTTATTTGGTTGGACATTTTACAGCTCCTAGGCAAGTTTATAATATTATAGCCCAGTCGCAGAACCCTCAGAACATATAGACCAGCAGTGCTACAGATATACCACAAGTATAGAGTAGTAGAGTAGAGCTCTACTATATGTGTGTGTGACTGTGTGTGTGTGTGCGTGCATGTGTGCATGCGTATACTGTATATATTATTTATATATACTGCATATCAGGGTTTTCATTATATTTTACAGTAACAGGCCCAAATGCTTTTGCAAGAGGCCGTGGCGGTGTGTGCGGGAGGGGGGGGGGATGTTTGAGGGCCCAATTTTTTTTTTAAACCTAGATGCTCTGAGATGCAATCTGGTGTATTCTGAGCTGCAGTAAACAGACACATTTGGATTACAGTATGGTCCTTTTTTCCAATTTGGTTTCTCCTGGTACATTCAGAGTTCACAAAAAAGTTTCCAAGTTTAGTGACGATTTAGTAATTATAAGAGTTAGACAAGTATGTAAATAGCATTACTCAAGAAAAAAACAATGCTTCTTGTGCACATAACATGCATACAAATATACTCAACTGATTTATTAGTAGTAGCTCATAAAACACGTTCACTTTGGAGAATAAATTTATTTTTATTTTTTAAATATGTAATACACGTGTACCCTACATGGAGCACGTGATCACGGCAGGTCTACAGCCAGACCCAGAGAAGGTCAAAGCCATTGTCGAGATGCCAGCACCACGTGACAAGGAGGGAGTCTGCAGATTGCTTGGTCTGGCACAGTACCTAGCAAAATATATTCCCAATCTAAGCCAAGTAGACGCACCACTGCGGAGCCTCCCGAAGTCAGATGTGACATTCGTATGGGAGCACGAACATGAAGACACCTTCAAAGAGCCGAAACAGAAATGCAGTACATCACCAGTACTAGCATTCTACGACGTAAACAAACCCGTGCACATAGAGTGCGATGCAATCAAAGACGGGTTAGGTGCTGTACTCATGCAGGAAGGTCGTGTTAATATATTGCGTATGCATCCCGTGCAATGACTGAAACTGAACAACGATACGCACAAATCGAAAAGGAAATGTTGTCGATAGTGTACAGCATGGCCAAGTTTCACTGCTATGTGTTCGGTAAGAAGACCACAGTTCACAATGATCACAAACCGCTAGAACAGATATTTGCAAAACCACTACTGTCAGCTCTGATGAGAATTCAGAGAATGATGCTGAAATTACAGCGGTACAACATCGAGGTTAGATACCGAAAGGGGAAAGAGATGTTTGTGTCGAATGCAGTCTCCTGAGCATATCTACCCGGAAAACAAGTCGAAGCAGACGATCTTGAGGAAAGCGACGTGATCAGCATTCATGATATCCGTCAGCAAATCCAGATATGTAGAAATCAAGGAGAGGACACAGTCTAAACTTCAAACACTATATCAGGTGATAAGCAATGGGTGGCCAGACAACAGAAGTGAAGCTCCAGCTGAGGTGAGACAGTACTGGGACTCGCGTGACCAGCTAGCTGTACGTGATAGCATCATCTACAAGAGACCGAGAATTGTAATTCCGCCTATCCTACACAATGCCATGCTGGAAATAATACACCGATCTCACCTAGGCATAGTCAAATGCAAGCAGAGAGCCCGTGAAGTGATGTACTGGCCTAGTATAAACTCAGCCATTGAGGACACAGTCCAGAACTGCAGTAAATGTGCAGAGTGTTAGAACAAGCAGGGCTGAACCATTAATGCCGACTGTAACTCCTGACCTGCCATACACCATGGTTGGATGTGACTTGTTTGACTTCCAGTTAAGCAAGTACCTACTGCTAGTGCACTATTACTCGAAATATATCGACGTCGTCGAACTGAGCTCAACTACAACCTCATCGATAACTAACGACATGAAGCAAATATTCGCTTGCCACGGCATCCCACTGAAGATTCGATCAGACAACGGGCCACAATTCAGCTCGACTGAATTCAATAAATTCTGCCTTCTAGACATCAGACTTCTAGGCCGCACTTCCAAAGCTCCAATGGAGAAGCAGAGCGAGCGATGCAAACAGTGAAACGCCTATGGAGCAAGGCAGAGGACAAATACTTAACTCTACTAGACTACCGAACTATACCGTTGGAGGGAATTAAACCAGAAAGGGCAGTTGTCGCCAATTACATGTATCCCCCGTGTTCTCCCCAAGATGTGTAAGTATGCGAAGTTTGGTCGCGCTAGGTCAATTAGGGGCCGAGTTATAGAGCGGAAGAGAAATATGATGAAGGTCAAGGTCAATGTCAAATAAAGGTTGCATTGACCTGGTTTCAGTACGCGACACACCTTCTCCCCAAGATGTGTAAGTATACCAAGTTTGGTCGCGCTAGGTCAATTAGGGGCCGAGTTATAGAGCGGAAGAGAAATATGATGAAGGTCAAGGTCAATGTCAAATAAAGGTTGCAGTGACCTGGTTTCGGTACGCACACGACACACCTTCTCCCCAAAATGTGTAAGTATACCAGGCTTTTCAGATTTGAAAAGTACAGGAGGACTACTAATGACTCCCCTAGGACACCATAGGCCATAGGGGGTCTTTTCATGCTCCATAATCA